CGGACAGAAGGGCACATGCGGCATTCAGTACCGGCAGGAGGTGACCTCTCCAACACAGAGACCACACAACCGCATTGGAGTGAAGCGCAACAGGCAATGATCAGTGGATTTTTTGCAGCAACGAGGGAGCTTCATCCCTACCCGTGTATGTATTGCAGGACATGCCGTACACGTGCGAAGGCCTCTCGCCGGATATCATCATCAACCCGCACGCCATCCCGTCTCGAATGACAGTCGGTCACTTGATCGAGTGCCTCCAGGGCAAGGTGCGTGCATCGCCCATCTCATCCTAGTGGGTGACGGGGAGCGGGCGGATGGTGTTACACACTCTCCTGGAGTTGCCCTCTTCCATCTTCACGTATGTGTGTATATATGTGTGTGTGCGTGCGCGGGTTTCCACATCCATCTGTCCTTCCTCTCTTTTATCAACGCCTCCCACTTGTGCGGTCGTAGGTGTCGGCGAACAAAGGCGAGATCGGCGATGCCACACCGTTCAACGACACGGTCAACGTGCAGAAGATCTCCAACCTACTGCACGAGTACGGCTACCACCTGCGTGGAAACGAGGTGCGCGCTGGCCCTAGCAACTGCATTGCGATGGCGATGGGCTGGGTTGGTCACTGACTGGGTTACCCCTGGGGTTTGTCACTTGCTGGGTCAAGTCATGGGCTGCGTTTTGTTACTGGCTGACACTGGGTGGGTTAAGTCGCATGTTGATTTCGCTGCAGACCGGGAAAGTCACTGGCTCGGTTGGTTACTCGTTGGCTTGGGGTAGCCATGGGCTGGCCAGGTTCAACACGAGTTGTTAGTTACCCTTTTGAGTTTGCCAAAGGGTAGACTATTCACAAATTGTGTTAATCATCCACTGAATTAGCCACAGGATGGGTTATCCCTAGAGTTGGGTTAATCACTCATGGATTGAATAACTGGCGGGATTATCCACGGTCCAAGTTGCGGATGCCTCGTCACCAATCTGGTTTACACGCAGGTGCTGTACAATGGCTTCACGGGCCGCAAGATGACGTCGCAGATCTTCATGGGACCCACGTACTACCAGCGCCTCAAGCACATGGTGGACGACAAGATCCACTCGCGCGCCCGTGGGCCCGTGCAGATCCTCAACCGGCAGCCCATGGAGGGGCGTTCGCGGTGAGACCACGGATTATAGGAGTGTGGGGGGTGTTCCACTTGTCGCGAGTCAGCTTTGCAGAAACTCGAAATCCTCTATTTAACGCCTCCTAGAAAAAGGCGCTGTAGTGGTTGCAAGTTGTGAATCCAAATTCTGGTTGAGAGATCAACTTTTAAACCCCCCTTCCAACCTTCCAGCTTCATTGAAATAAGTGCCATATATTTTTTATTGAGGGTGGTTGTAGTAAAGATGGACTTTTACCTACAAATATGAATGCGGATTTTCAACCACTAATTCAGGGCCAGCGGCGGAACATTGGAAATAACGCACCGCCCCTCGCCGCTCGTTTTCCATCTCGACGTTTGACTCGCCGTCGTTTTTTCCCCCCGTGCACAGCGACGGTGGGCTGCGTTTTGGCGAGATGGAGCGCGATTGTCAAATCGCGCACGGCGCCGCGCAGTTCCTGCGTGAGCGGCTGTTCGAGGTGTCCGACCCCTACCAGGTGCACGTGTGCAACCTGTGCGGCCTCATGGCCATCGCCAACACGCGCACGCACACCTACGAGTGCCGCGGCTGCCGCAACAAAACTCAGGTAACCCCCCCTCCCTCGCTTCCACCCCTTCTGTTTTCCGACTGCATGCGCATTTACACGAGGGATGTAAGAGTTAAACGCGTGGTCGATTCTGTTGTTGCGCATGGCAATATGTTCAGGAGCTACTAGCTACGACGAAAGGGCTTCAGTCGAGAGAATTCGTGTGGTTTCCTATCCCTCTGCTGAAGGTGTGCAGATTATTGATTAAGGTCAGGGTTTGTACTCATTCCGAGTCATTGTGTCGGCCTGGCCTCCTTTGGCACGCGTTTCTAAGTTGTCTTTGCTCCCGTGGTTCTCTAACCTCACTCCACAGTGGCATAATATTTTATTATTTACGACACCCATGAAGGTCTACTGGCATTTAATAAAGCACAAATAGGAGCAATGCAGTCTAGAATATGTACCCTGGCTGTTTGAGTCGTACAACATTGACTATGTAAGTAGCCATGGTATCAATGCTCTCAAATGTTTACTTCGATATTAGGCACAGAGTATTTCGTACGATCATTGTGCGTCCATAGGCATGAATAATTTTTGGCACAAATAAGTTTGTTTTGCGTGTACCACTGTAGTTACTCATATTTAATTTGAGAATAAACTTCAACCACATCTGCAGAATTGGTTTGTTAATAAAATCTGACCCTGAATCGTGATGATCATACAATAGTGAATTGTTTATATCCCTAGGTGGCAAGTAAATTGTATATATTTCTTGAGTAATTGAACCTTGCAGTTGAGAGCACACAGCTTCAACTTTGCACAATGCTGCTGGAATTTATAATTTACTTACGTGTGTGCCATTCACATAAGCAAATATAACCAGAAATTACAACATTTAATGTTAGTACAAAATCCAAAGTCTTTTTTTAAAGAACTGATGCCCCTTAACAAAGTGGAGGGTAGGGGGCAGACAAAGGCAAATTATAATGCAACAGGATGTGAAGGCCAGTCCGTCACAGGGGACTAAAATTAGCTCGGACATCCTCTGCTGGAACATGTCTCGCCCTGGGCATTGTTAACAGTTTTGTTTTCACGTAGAATTTTCCTTCGTATGCAAATCAAAAACCCCTCTTCACCTCTCACTCTCGGTGGTGATGTTGTAATCATCATGGCTGGAAGGTGGTTGATAGCCTATTGTGTTATAGTCATATAATTGCCGTAAGAATGCGGAATTCCCACCACTGGCTCAGGGGGGGGGGGGGCGCCCCCAGTGTTGATGAGTGCCGCTGCATTTCTCATTTTCAGCAGGGAGCCAACTTTATCAATTTTACTTGACATTTATTTAAATTGCTCCGTGTGTCCGTAACCGTTTTGTTGTCGTTCTTGCACAGATCTCGCTGGTGCGTTTGCCATACGCCTGCAAGTTGCTTTTCCAGGAGCTCATGTCCATGAGCATCGCTCCACGGATGATGATCACATAAAATCTGGAACCTTCCTGGGGCCAGAAAAATTACTGCCGACTGTCATTGCTGCCCTCCCAACCCGCCAGACAATCACAAACATCCCCAGTGACTCCAACTTTCCGGAAGACTCTTGCCTCTGCCAAAACTCTAAATATGAGGACCAGCACATTCTAAAAAAAAAGGACCAAGTAAAATAGGATCAACATGAACATATTCCTTGATGCATTTATTTTTATTGGCAAGTATTATTCTAGCCTTCCATTGCATAACATGATTTATTTGTTGTGACGCAAACCAGCTGTGCTAACAGCCTACCAGCCTCAAAAGGGAACATACTTTGATACTACAGGGCAGTTCGTCCTACATTAATTCCATCATTCCTACATTTAATAATTTATCTCCCGGTCATGCAACGCATTCATTCTCACCCTTGAATTCCTCCCTTTACTGAATCCTGGCAATCCTATCAATCACTGATATATCCCTCATGTGCTCACTTGTTCTCGCATACATTTATTTCCTTATTCTGTCACTCACGCTTCATTAATTTACTCATTCCTCCCTCATTCAGTTACTAATTTATCTCATTCACTCTCAATCCTCTTGTCTCATTCTTTCCTCATTTACGCACTCGATTTCCCATTTTCATGTGCTGCCTACTGGCGAACAGTAGCGGAAAATTTGATTTTGCAATGTACATAGTCACTTTTAAAATGACACCTGTTAAACTTCACTGCACATAAGCAGAATGTGTAAGTGTTTGAGGTTAAAATCTCTCATTCACGGATTCCTCTCATTGTCATTTTTATCTCATATGGTCACCTGGCTACCAGATGCTCTCCGATGACTTCTGCAGAGCCAGCCGTTGCTAAGGGACGCCTGTTGCTAGGGGACGCCTGTTGCTAGGGGACGCCTGTTGCTAGGGGACGCCTGTTGCTAGGGGACGCCTGTTGCTAGGGGACGCCTGTTGCTCGGGGACGCCTGTTGCTAGGGGACGCCTGTTGCTAGGGGACGCCTGTTGCTAGGGGACGCCTGTTGCTAGGGGACGCCTGTTGCTAGGGGACGCCTGTTGCTAGGGGACGCCTGTTGCTAGGGGACGCCTGTTGCTAGGGGACGCCTGTTGCTAGGGGACGCCTGTTGCTCGGGGACGCCTGTTGCTCGGGGACGCCTGTTGCTCGGGGACGCCTGTTGCTCGGGGACGCCTGTTGCTCGGGGACGCCTGTTGCTCGGGGACGCCTGTTGCTAGGGGACGCCTGTTGCTAGGGGACGCCTGTTGCTCGGGGACGCCTGTTGCTCGGGGACGCCTGTTGCTAGGGGAGACGCCTGTTGCTAGGGGAGACGCCTGTTGCTCGGGGACGCCTGTTGCTAGGGGACGCCTGTTGCTAGGGGAGACGCCTGTTGCTAGGGGAGACGCCTGTTGCTCGGGGACGCCTGTTGCTCGACTGACGGTCTTCTCAAGCAGCAGTGACACATTTGATTATGTAGTGCAGATAAGCACATCTGCGTTCCAAGTTTTTTTTTGTATTCCACAAGCGTTTTTTTCTGTTTCATGTCTACAACTCGGCAAGGAAGGGTGAAAATGTTTTCTTGCACATTGACAGACGACGGACTTTCCATCGATACCACGTTCGTACACACAGCTTGAAAAATGTAGATTTGTGTGAGGTGTGTTAAAAGCGGCACACGTACAACGGGATATTTTTTTTTCACATGTGGAGATTAGTTAGATCTGTTGCCACGAGGAGTGGCGGCGCGAGCCGTGTTCTGTGATGTTGCGGAAGCGTGGCTGCAGAGATTGTCAGTCGCCGAGGCTTTTAAATAAAAACAAAAAAAAGAACCCGCTTTGTCATATTTCAAATAAACTCCTTCACGTGTGTGTATTTTTATAGTTTATTGCTTTTTTATTAAAGAATCACTTTGTCGTTATATTTCTTGCGTTAAACGGTTTTAAAAACGACTCGTTTGCAAAAAGATGCAAGCAAATTAAGCTTCCAAACCTGCTTTAAGACAAAATCCCCCCACCAGTGTAAGTTTAATATGAATGCGTCGAGATTATAATAGCACCAAAACGTGGCTTTTACCATCGTGCCTTGCGTACAATGGCATCTTCGGATGTCTGCTTTACATCAATAATGCCAAAACCTTGTGTGTATTGCCTCTCCGTTAACATTACACACTCTCGCAACTAGAGGTTTAAGTGCAGTAATTAATAGAAGCTGCATTTGCAAATAAAAAATATATTGCTCGTCGAACGAGTTAATGTTTAAAGTAGCACGCAGTCAGTTCTCGCGGTAACGGAACTACAGCGATGGACAATGGAGCAGATGACCCACACATTTTAAAATCGTCGTTTGGTTATGTGTAGACTGGATCAGATTCGTCTACTATGGATGTCTTTTTATTTGCGCAATAATTGTCAAACACATGCCCCGCGGCAAATCGACAAGCCGTTGTTTCATCTGCATGGTCGAGAGGTGAATGTGGCCCTAGAAACCATTCCTCCCAGGGCAGATGTGGGAAATGAACAGTGGTTCTTTGGAGAGAATGGGCTCTTATCTGTGCAATGTGGAATTTCTATCGCTGGTTTTAAGAGCTTATCGATGGAGATGAATCACTGCTCCACACTTAGTCGAGCAAGGGACTTAAAATGTGTTCGTACAGCAGGTTGGAACGATTTACAGAGTAAAAAAAAAGGAGCCCTTTGCTACTTAGGTGTCGGATCATCCTGCCTCTTGTGCTGGTAATTCAGTTACGGCAGAAATGACAGTTACATGTGCCCGTGGTGTAAATGGTTAGGGGATGGACACGGGTCGTCGCTTGACCACCGCACGCGTGCCATGAGAAGTGCTGCTCGTGGCCACGTCGTGTGGATCCCTCCCGTGGCGGCGGCGGCGGCGACGCTGCAGAGGAAGACTTAGAGTTCCTCCTCTTTCTCTGTGATGGGGGGGAAGGGAAGGGGGGGAGCATGCGGCATGAATTTTGTCGACCGAACGATGCCAGGTTGTTGAATAAGACTGACTTTCCACGATAGACATGTTTGAATTTCAACCACCGGCTCAAGGCCACCGATGTATAGCGACTTGATGCCCGATGCACAAATACGAAGGAGGCATCGTCACAGTGATGTCTTCTGCTATCCCTGACGCAATCGTCTGGCTCGAACACCTAAATGTAAATGTATAGTTGCTGCTGCATTCAAGGCCACTGGTGGCTCCTGGTGGCCTTTGGTGCGGCCCTTGACAATACACAAGTGAAAACTCCCCCATCATCGTGCTGTCCAATACAATGGTTTAAAATGTGTGGCGGCCCTCACACTGATCATGTATTTTCGGCGAAAGACCCCCCCCCCCCCCCCCCTCTGAAAATTAGTGAAGAACACTGCTGGACATCAACATCGTCCATACGAAATAGACCATTGGAGATGAGCACAAGCAAATTATTATTTGAGCTTGTGATGCACAGCAGAAGAGAGATATCCAAAGTTTTACCAAAATGTTTCATCCGATGGCTCTTAGTGCTAAGTGTTCAATGGTAGAATTGTGCTCATCGTTTAGAGGTGCGTTTGCATTTAGATTAAATCCATGTTTAGCTGTTACCTGCACTACCATCTCTGGCCGCCTGGGGTCTCGTATTGACTGGAGTTCCTACCTACAGTAAATCCACGATTCCACCACAACGTTGAGACTCCTGGCAAACAAAAACCCTTACTGCGCAGATGTGGAAAATACAAGTGAGGTGAGGGAGATAATAGTCGAGTGAATGTTGAACGAAAGATCTTCAACAATTGTCTGGAGTAGGCATTAAATAAGACGGGTTCAGAGAGACGTTGAGTGGGGATGTGTGGGGACGAGCGAGGTCGGCAAGGACGAATTGGGGTGAGGAACGGCGAATGGAGGAGAGGGGGAAATCGGGAGAAGTGTTGGGGAGGTGAGAATGGAAGAGAGATGAGAATACGTGGACGTGATGAATGGGGAATGGGAGTGAGGACAGCTGAGGGGAGGTGGGGAAGAGAGAGGGGGGGTGAGGGAAAAGCCAGAGGAAATGAGAGGTGAGAAAAGGTTAATGGAGTTGAGGTGCAGGGGATGTTAAACGGCGTGAGGAGCAGTGTCGGTGAAGATGAGGTACGAATCTCGCTTTGTGAGACGTGAGCGAGAGGAGGTGATGTGTGCGTGTGGGATGTCGGCAAAGATGTGACGAGGATGTGACGAGGGTGTCGCCCCCCTCGCCCTGTGCCACTCACGGGTGGCCGTGGAGTGCTCCCTGGGGATGAGGTCGGCGCTGGCCGCCACGTGGATCGAGCCGACGGCGGCCGCCTCCCCCTGCGAGTTCTTGGCGTGGCACTCGTACTCGCCTCCATCGCTCTCCAGCAGCGGGGAGATCTGCGGGGAGACGCGAGACAAAGACGCATCGTACACACGGCGCTCTCCCGCCCATCACGGGGAGATCTCTATGTTGCATGTGTGGTGAGCGTGGCGCGTCGTTTGAAAAGTGCGGCGTGTGTTTTTATGTTGAACTTCTTTAGAGCCATACGTAGCCAACCGTGCGAATCGGAGGTGTGGGGGAAAGACAACAAAGCAAACCCAAAGAGCAGCTCTAAACGTATGAGTGCAGTGCGAGTGGCTTGGTGTGTGTGTGTGATGTGGTGTGGTGTGAGTGGTGTGAGTGGAGTGGTGTGAGTGGTGTGGTGTCAGTGGTGCGGTGAGCACGGCTGTGGTTCGGTGAGTCTCACGTGAGTGGGGTGTTGAGGGTGGTGCGGTGAGGGTGGTGAGACGAGGGTGGTGCGGTGAGGGTGGTGTGGTGAGGGTGGTGCGGTGAGGGTGGTGTGGTGCGAGACGCACCAGAACCCATCCCGTGACCTCGTGTTTCTCGGGGCCTCCGCGCGTCTGGATGGCGAGGTTGTCCCGATCTCCGGGCAGAAGCTCCATGCGCTCCACTCCCACGGCGCTCTTCACGATCTGCGGGATCAGGCGCGGGTTCAATCACTCGTCAATTCGTGGTCAACAACAACGAGGGCCATGGTCTATCCACTGGTGGATGAAGGTCTCCCCCATAGTCCTGTGGTGGTGACAAAATCAAACTTCGGGTTTATTTTGTTGAAGCAATGTGAGATTTCAAAGAGACCCGAGGAAAGTCGTATTTGCAATGGTGATCGTCTCACTCCTGTACTTGAAACGATGTCATTGCGGTATTTAAAATATTATAGACATACATACATACACGCAGCATCATCCACATAGTCACATCTCTCCAGGTGCTGTGGCACCACAATCCAATTCACTCCTGCATAATAACATGTATTATAACCCTCTCACATTTATAACCATATTACACGCATCATCACATCCCATCACTCCTGGCATGGTTGTCTGGCTTGACCACCTGATTGTGACATTGTAGTTGTTTGCTCTGCATCGACATCAGCCGTACGCATGAAGAAGAATAAGATCTCGAGATTGAAAACTCGATTTATTTGGAACTTCGTTTGTGTTTAGTTGTCCTTCCCCCGCACTTCCAATTACCACGGTTGATTGCGTACGGTGCAAAAGAAGTTCAACAGATATACTAAACCGACTAAAATAAATTATCAGTCATCTCTCCACTGCTGGATAATTGCCCCCTCACACTGTCGCCATTCCTTACTTGGTGAAGCTGGGTTTTATATTATTTTAATGCTTTCATGATAAACTTTTCTCGAATTGTAAATGTTGTGGGTTTATTCTCCAACACGACGGGTGTGCTTAACTGGAAGCCTCACCAAAGACTTGGCAAGAGGGTCCTGCCAAGTCTTTGTTGTTTTGTGTGTGTGTGTATGGAGTGACGCTGTTGGCCGTTGAGTACGTTCGTCCCGATTCGTGCGATTCTAAAAAGGCAATTTGCTTTTTTAGAATTTCAGCAGCACTTAGTGGCGATTTCAGATTGTGGCGCCCGCCACGCTGTCGATCAAGCGGTGCTTCACCTTTCCTGCAGCCTGTACCCCCCTTTGAGTCTCAGAAAGGGCATCTCGCACCCCCCCCCCCCCCGGGGCTTGCATACACCCCAGGTGAAGAGCCACTGCTCTCGTTGTTGGCCTGGGGGGCTGATGGCATCGCTTCCCTCTGGCTTAGCGTTGATATTATTGGAGAGCAAGCAAAACAACGCCTCGTGGTTACACAACGAGTTGGAGCTCTTGGTTGCTGGCAAACTGCCATGAGGGGGTTTGGGTGAGTTTGTGGAATGCTTTGGTGTCTAGACGCAAACATTTCGGGCTTAACACACCGGCACGTGAGGAGTTCATGTCACCCACGTGTTTATTATGTGTATATACTCTTTGGTTCTTTCGGTAAAGTCACGTGATTTATTTTATTTTATACCTACGTGACTTTACCGAAAGAATCAAAAAGTATAGATTCCTGCAGTCACGAAAGTTTCAAATCAAGAATGTTTATTATGCTTTTCGATAAAAAACAAAATCTGAACTAATTACCAATTTGTCGTTTTAGATACGTCTTTATGGGAATACCGTACAGCATTATGTAGTCAGTAATTTGCTATTGCAGATTTAACAGGGTGATGGACACAATTATTGGGGCTACAATGTTAGTTAAATCTTCAGAAGCACTCTTTTTCCGCACAAGGGTTAGACACACCAGGACCTACAAACACACCAGGATCTACAGACACACACCAGGACCTACAAACACACACCAAGGCCTATAGACAGACCAGGGTCTATAAACACACAAGGGTCTATAGCAGTGTTCTTGACTAATTTTCAGAGTGGGGGGGGGGGGGGGCACCTTCGCCGATGAGACATCGGTGTGTGGGCCACCACACATTTGAAAACATTTGGTGTTTGACAGCACAATGCATGGTGAGGGGGGTGGGGGTGTTTTCACATTTGTTTATTGTCGGGGGCCGCACGTCAGGGGCCGCACTAAAGACCACCAGAGGCCACCAGTGGCCCGCGGGCCATGCAATGAAGATCCACTCTTCCATAGACACCCGCCAGGGCCTTTAGACACACACGCAGACACGCGTGGCTGGTGGAACAAAAAAAAGTGATGGTTTTTTTATAAAATTTTCTATTTAACTAAAATAATTCATGGTTATTTCTTTGAACATAAAACACGAAGGCCGTTGGGGAATGGCCCCCGCTCCCAAGGCCTATTGAGTCGTCGCTGCACCACTCCCCCGCGATATTAGCCGAGGACATTGAGATCCGAAACGGGGGGAAGGGGGGAGGGACAAAAACACGGGGACGTTTCTATTTGGGGGGAGGAGAGGGCGTTTTCAGTGGCCCCCGCTGCGAGGGGGTCCTTGGGTGGGGGGGGGTCACTTTTTAGAAGCCGCTCGACGCTCCGCCTTTGTTTTTGTCCCGATTGTGAGTGGGTTTATTCGCCTGTGAAAATCTACCCCGAAGAGGCAGGGAGACGGAGACCGAGACGACGGAGAAGAAAGAGGGCGGCCCGCGGGACCAATCTGTGGCCTTCATCGTGGAGTCTCAAGCGTGAAAAATGTGTCTTTGTGGTGGCTTTGTGGTGGCTTTGTGTTGTGTCTTTGTGTTGTGTCTTTGTGGTGGCTTTGTGTCGTGTCTTTGTGGTGGCTTTGTGTTGTGTCTTTGTGTTGTGTCTTTGTGGTGGCTTTGTGTCGTGTCTTTGTGGTGGCTTTGTGTTGTGTCTTTGTGGTGGCTTTGTGTTGTGTCTTTGTGTTGTGTCTTTGTGGTGGCTTTGTGTTGTCTTTGTGGTGGCTTTGTGTTGTGTCTTTGTGTTGTGTCTTTGTGGTGGCTTTGTGTTGTCTTTGTGGTGGCCTTGTGTTGTGTCTTTGTGGTGGCTTTGTGTCGTGTCTTTGTGGTGGCTTTGTGTCGTGTCTTTGTGGTGGCTTTGTGTTGTGTCTTTGTGGTGGCTTTGTGGTGGCTTTGTGTCGTGTCTTTGTGGTGGCTTTGTGTCGTGTCTTTGTGGTGTGTCTTTGTGGTGGCTTTGTGTTGTCTTTGTGGTGGCTTTGTGTCGTGTCTTTGTGGTGGCTTTGTGTTGTGTCTTTGTGGTGGCTTTGTGTTGTGTCTTTGTGTTGTGTCTTTGTGTTGTGTCTTTGTGGTGGCTTTGTGTTGTCTTTGTGGTGGCTTTGTGTCGTGTCTTTGTGGTGGCTTTGTGTCGTGTCTTTGTGGTGGCTTTGTGTTGTGTCTTTGTGTTGTGTCTTTGTGTCGTGTCTTTGTGGTGGCTTTGTGTTGTCTTTGTGGTGGCTTTGTGTCGTGTCTTTGTGGTGGCTTTGTGTTGTGTCTTTGTGGTGGCTTTGTGTCGTGTCTTTGTGGTGGCTTTGTGTCGTGTCTTTGTGGTGGCTTTGTGTTGTCTTTGTGGTGGCTTTGTGTCGTGTCTTTGTGGTGGCTTTGTGTTGTCTTTGTGGTGGCTTTGTGTCGTGTCTTTGTGGTGGCTTTGTGTCGTGTCTTTGTGGTGGCTTTGTGTTGTGTCTTTGTGGTGGCTTTGTGTTGTGTCTTTGTGGTGGCTTTGTGTCGCGTCTTTGTGGTGGCTTTGTGTTGTGTCTTTGTGGTGGCTTTGTGGTGTGGCTTTGTGCTGTGTCTTCGTGGTGGCTTTGTGTCGAGTCTTTGTGGTGGCTTTGTGTCGCGTCTTTGTGGTGGCTTTGTGTTGTGTCTTTGTGGTGGCTTTCAGTTGTGCGTTGTGTGCGCGCTGGAATGTGCCCCCACTCCGCGCTCCCAGCGGAGTGCGAGATGTTAACTACCTCGCCTGATACACAGGAGGCCGTGGGTTCGATCCCGACCCTGACGGCTGCTGTGTAGTTGGAGTTTGCGCGTTTCTCTCTCTTCCCATGGTCGTGTGGATTTTTCTCCGGATCCTCCGCTTTCCCCTCCACATTTAGAATCAACATCACGTGTTGAGAGTATTTGGCTGCTATACATTTCCACACGATGATAAGGATAAGCCACTTCGTTGAGCTATCATTTGTGATAACCAGGTTTCTTCTGAAACATATATTTTTAAGCTCAGCGAGTCTTACGCGGTAAAAGTAAAAAATAGTTTCGTTTTACCTCCCATCCACACGTGGCTGGATTCTAGCGCGACGGATCGACTTGTGAACATGTCTCGTTGGTAATTGCGAGACGGCGCTAGCTTGCTATGAGAGTGCCAGTGCAGAGTATGGGTCAGGACTTGCCGTTGAATGCTGGTAGATTGTTGTACACTATGCCAAGACCAGCCCCCCCCCCTCTCTCACGAAGACAAAGATACCCCGTATAGCCTGAACAGACTGTTGGGGCAAGTGCTGTTAGCGACCACCTATGAAGGCCGGCACGGCACACGAGGGGGTTAGTTGGCCAACACCTCGCCCGGCCGCCTTTTTATCCTGATTAGCGATGTTTACACACCACGCCGTGTACTCATTTAAGGCTGAGTCGATCGAGGAAAGGCGCAGTACCAGTTACACTATTCACCACTCTTAATGACCATGAGCAAGATAACTAATTCACGTCACCGAGTTCGCAGTGCAGTGCGCTAACCACTAAACCATCGCTCCCCAACCGCTACGCTGCGCTATGATTTGCACGCACGCAGAACGATGCAGACCAAAAACTGAAACATTCCTTGATCAGAAACCTATGCTGACACAAACGTACAGTCAACGAAAGTTGCAGGCAAAGAGAAGGCAGTTAGATTATCATGACTGGTTTATAGTTCGAAAATGATCCCAAACTGGATCAAAACGCCACTGCAATTGTGCTAGGATTGAAGAGAAGCCAGCACTTCATGGTGTGGGGAGACGACTATAATGTTTTCCGCCAATGATGATGATGATGGAAGTGGTAGTGGTGGAAATTGGCTGTAACGCGTGGAGAGAGTGACAATTTGAACCCGACTGCGTTATGGAAGGAATTAAGGATTCATATTTTGTTATAATTTGACTTACAGAATGACCCCTAGACTAACAGAGAAATCCACAAACAAGCACAGAAACCCACAGACGTGCTCAG